ACAAATGGGGTTGGTGTTATGAGTTCCTTTGTAAGAGAAGGTATCAATCTAACCTAATTTGAAATTTTTAATTTTTTTTTTTTTTTTGAATTTTGAAATTGTGATTCATAGTCACACGTGACAAATCCTAGTTATACCCATGACATATAGGTTCTAGGTCTTCTCATATTAAAATCCTAAAACGTACGACAACAAAAAATAATAATAACAATTCTCGTGCTTTTCAAAAAAAGCATGAAAATGAATAATTTAACAATGGAAGTTTGAATCTAAGCACCAAATCAAGAAAAAAAAAATATGAACCCTAATTAAGTGGCATGTTGCTTCTAATTCAAACACTAATCTTTGATTAATATATTACCACATCTAAATCTCTTGTTCCAAGAATAACAATGGAAGGTGAGTAGTGATTTGTGGTTGGTTAATCGGCTAATGCTCTCGTCATCCAATCCACAATTCAAGGGTCATAACAAAAAACTAATATTATAAACACTATCTAAAGATCTAAAGATCTATGGAGGTTTGTTTAGCAATTAATTAATGCAATAAACAAGTTTAGTTAATGCAAATCGAGGGCCTTGAGTTTTTTATAATCCTATGTAGTGGTTTGAGGAACTTTGAATTTTGAAAAGGGTCGAGTGATTTACTAATTTATACTCTGGTTCTGATCACGAGTTTTTTTTTAATAGGTAGTGTTCAAATTTTACGCATTTTATAGGTGTCTAAAGATGCGGGTCAAGAATGTAGGCCTTGTGTATGAACTTTTAATAGAAAATTAATCGAAACATTTTTAAGTTTAGGTTCAATGTTGGGGTAAGGATGTTAAATGGGGTGAGCAGCTTAAACTCGACTCGCTTCAAGAAAGTTGAACTCAGTTCATGAGCCAAATTCGTGCTAGCTGCTCGTTAGTGTATGCTCGGCTCGCTAGTGGAACAAGTTGAGTCGACGAGCGCCTCGCTCCACTTGACATTTCTATATTAGGTTGGGCTGTGTTTTAGTTAGGACTTCGATTCACTGTTGTGGAGTGTTTTATTATGGGATAATTAAGCCCAATACTTTTTTACATATAATTCCTTCAAAAAGTGGGGTTTAGCTCTATAACAAATGAAGACATTAATTTTATTTATATTTGCAAAAAGAATACAGATGTAATGGTCTGAGGCTTTTTTTAAAAAGTGACAGAGTATGTCACTTTTGAATTTCAACACATTAATTCATATGTAAGACATATAAAGTGTTATATCATGCCATTTTTTAATGAAAGCAAAGTTTGAATGCATTTTCATATTTAAATTTTTATAAAGAAGTATATGCGTTTCTTTAATTGATAAAAAAAAAATAAAATCAAATGAGATAACTAGTATGTGATTTTCATTTTAGAAAAAAAAAAAGTGACGTAGCATATCACTTTCAAATTTCAACACCTTAATTCATACACAAAGACATACAATTTTGGCAGCTTAATTCATTGTAAAGTGACATAGCAGGTTGTGCCACTTTTTAATTAAATGTTACACAAGTAATTTTCAATAGAACAATACATTTCAGCTAAGTTTTCAATTTAATTATAAGAATTTCTTTTAAAAGTTAATTTATTATGTATTGTGTTAAATGTGAATTAAACTAAAGAAATTGATATTGTACGTCATAAAAAGTGACATTGTATGTAGCTTATTAAAAAGTGACATACAACATCAAATTTTAATTAAAAAGTCTCGAGTATCTTTACACAATATTTTTTACTTTCAAAATAATTTTCATATAATTTCTTTGAAGACCCTGATTTTAAGGGTATTTGTGTTAGTTGCCCTTTTATTTGGGTTTGGGTTAGGGTTAGTATAGTGCTAGGTTTCAAACTCGGTTTGGGTTCAAAGTTGGAATGGGGTTTAGTTCAGGCTTTGGTTCATTAATGGGCTACATTTTATTTTGGGTTTGGATTCATTTTTAGTTTGGGTTCTTTGGGCAATGATTCACCGTTGGGCTGGGTTCAACTTTTAATTGCGTTTAGATTAGATGTTGGGCTGGTTTTCATTTTGGGCTTGTTCACTGTTAGGCAGGATTTTGGTTTGGGAAATTATAAAAAATCAGATGTTTAAAGATAACTTTTTAAAAATCAGGTCCAAAGTATGTATATTCAAAAATCAGGTATCAATTGAATATTT